AATTCAGGCTTTGACGGGATTTAAAGCCTTGACTTTTGTGATGCCGGTGCAGCACTCTACCAATAACTGGGAGAAGGTCATGGAGTTTGTTCAGTTCTTTATAAAGCCATGAAAGCCATGACATGAATATATCAAAATCATATGTAAGATGTGTGTGATGTAATTGCGTGATGTAGAATTAAATGAAAGGACGATCACCGCGGTTAGAAACGGGGCTTTTGCGGTTGCCAAAGTAAATTTCAGTTTCGTTGAATAGCGTCAGTTGGTAACTCAAGCCAAGTGATTCTATTAGAGAACAACTGATGCAACCTAATCATATATAGTGAACTGACCCAGTTCGTTTTTGTCGTTTTAAAAGAGCATTTAAAAGCTAGAGAGCACCTCAGGTCAGTTCAGTGAGGTCTTACCAAAGGAGATGAGGGTAACCATTATGTAATGTTTAATAAACGAGCAGCAGCGTTTTATCGGGTTCAAAATCACGAGCCGAAGGCGAGTGATTTAGGCCCTTCCCCTGCTGCGAGTTTATTGAACGTCTTCAAAGACATTCGCCTGGAAAAGCGTGTCTAAGTAGAATTGATAACAATAATCCTTTTGTAAACGTTGGAAATTAGTATACGAAAAAATGTTACGTATGAAATGAATATGCAAGAAACTCAAATTTCACACGTAACTGTTTTGAACTTTTCTTCTACAAAAGACACTAACCGAAGAGGACGTGGCATCTTGTTCCACAGTTTTTCGGAAGTCTAATAATGCCGAGAAAGAGAGGAAGTTAATTGAAAATGTTACCCCAAAGTCGACACGTCTGTGACGAAGTGGTCTTTGAAAATTCTCCTGGAATGGCCGAATGGAAGGAAAAACGAAAACCCAACAAGGTGCCACGCTTGGACACCTCAGTATAGCCAATATTACCACAGGTAACCCCAACCTCGTTCCCAGGGTTCTCTCCTACCCGCCCTACGGAGCGAGAGAGAGAGAGAGAGACCCTGGAAAACGCTGGTCACGTGTCTCCCAGAATCTGGGAGATTACAAACAAACGATTTGTGGGAGGGGCAGGTAAGTGTGAGATTTGTCTCTACAGAGCGTAGACAGGTCAGTGCAGCCATCAAACTGTGTACCTGACATGATCTTGAACGCGGAAAATAATGCACAAAGTCCTTTGACAGCGAAAGCGTAACTTCCCGCAGAATATCTCGATGTTAATCGGATGTTTATCAGCGATGCTTTCATTTGGCACATGCGACGGAAATCTCGGAGGATTCACCGTTTGTGCAGTCAAAAATAATTTAGGTATCCTGGTAGTAGTATTCTTACCTAAACGCACTAGATTTAAATTGCTGTTTATATGTTGTGGAGGCCACTTTAGAAAACAAATGTACAGTATCTGTATCGGTTTTCAAGACTACTATTATGCAAGGCGCCGAAAAAATGTATCAAGCGTTGCTGTCCTCACCCGCGACCTCGAACTGCCTCAAAGCAACAGGAAGAGAGAATATGCGGCTCGGACAGTCAGGCTGATTGTTAGCTATTGTTCAAATGGAAAGAGGTAAAGAGAATCTTGAAAAAAATATATTTTTAGCCAAGGCTCTGTGCTTTTTGCATTTTTTGTCGTCGTTTATAATTATCAGGATAGCCGTAAGCTTCTTTGTTAAAAAATACCGTATGATATGGCTTGCACAACTGCCAACCGTTAATTGTTCCTTATTAATTTTCTGGATGTTTAGGTATGCTTTAGAGGATTTTTAGAAATCACTGAGCCGCATGTGTTTTTAAATAAAGTTTTCATATTGGCCAGAAAGCCTTTCGCTTGGAAGGTTATGTTGTCTGTTTTGTCTCTGTTTATACTATTCCCCGTTCTACTACATGTCGCGTTGGTATATGAAATTATTTTTACCTTTGATCTATTTACAACTTTCCTTTTGCCGCATCATGACAAAGGTTAGGGGGTGGAAAATGCTGACATTTTAGGTTATAGGTTTCCGTGAAGTCACTAGATCTAAAATATTACTTTGATCGTAAATGCATTAACTGAATTTCTTGCTAAACTGTCATGTTTTGTCCCGGGGTTTTGTCACGCCGACCGCAAATGGTGTAGGTTTATTTGGCCCGATTACCAGCCGCTGTCAGACAAACATTGAAACTTTTAATATAGAAGTTCAACAAACAGGGATTTTACCTTCAAAAAATTAACTCGCTTGTGTATAATTCCGAAAAGATCGTAGATTTTTAGCGATTGGTGTCATCGGTTAAACCGGCGACAACGCTAGTTTTTTATTCCTTCTCTGGTAATTCACTTGTTTATCTGATAGTTTTGTTTAGGCAGAAATTTCCTTTAGTTTCAATTATAGTTGTAGTAGGGTTAGCAAATCTATCTTGCCGTTGCGATTTTCGAGGTTGAGGTAACCCAGGCTCTGTTATAGTACCAGACAGTACGATTGCAGTAAAATTAATGTGTTTGTATGGGGTAAAAATGCGAAACTTACTCTGCAGTTAGCTGTTG